GAGCATCCTCAGTAGTCGAGGACGGCCTGCTATTATCACGGCATCCTCCCTCAGTGGTGACACGCTTCATCATGGTGTCACCACACTCCTTCGATGAAGCACAGCCCATAATATGAATAATACACTGCTGAGCAAACCCTGTGCATGCGTTCAGATATGCTAAACAACAACACTACAGCACTACTGAGCGGTTATCTGCTACTACTGTTGCAGTGGGAGATCATCATAATAAAGAGAGGCTTATTGAGATTATCATATTCCGTGACGAACGATGTGACGACGTCGACGACGACGACGTTTCGTCACGATTCTTGCACACTTGAATTTCCTCATGTCACTAAATCTTGAGGGCGAGCGAGATTTGGTCCCTTGGGAAACGATTAGAAGCAATTGAATAGATGTACCTTGTAGACTGCCACACAGAGCAGGCCTTCATCCAGGTGTGACCCCACACCCTCATGGGTGTATCCACAAACTCTTATATGATTGTAAAATAGAGTTTCACCACCCTAGTGATATGAAAAACACTAGTTAAAAACGTATTTCACGACTACTGCATATCACCGCGAATATCGGGGTTTGTCACAGAGTATTACGCCATTTCACGGAAAGCGGATGCAACTCCAACATACGATGTGGATTTTCAATCTATACCCACCAGCTGAACTCAGTGACATGAGCTGATCTAATCAATTCTCCACGATTCGGAGTTTTATTTCGTGACTTCCCAGAAAACACTCTTCTGCTTGCCAATGCCACTCATTAAATGCGACACTCAGAAGTGGACGGCTAAGTGAAAGTGCATCTGTGGAAATGGTGTAGATAACAACGCCCCGACACAGAGCATCAAAAAGTGGACAGTGAGGATTGTTGGAGGAATATATCTTTGGTTCCCTCAGCTGAGCTCAGGAGTTTCCTCACGAATTTTCGGAAGTTCTATACGAATTCGGGTAAAATTGTACATATAAGCAATAAGAATTTCCTCAGAATTATCATATCGTCACCAACACATGTAGTTGACCATGTGCATAAATTCCCACACTGGTGAGGACAGGGTTGTTCAGACGGAATGTTTACACCTAGTCCAGCATGTGATCATCAGATGAGCAAAACTTTGCTCTCTTCCTCATTTCAAACACGACAACTTATAGGATTTGTTCAACGCGCAGTTGATGTCATGTCGTTATCGTTTTCCCAGCGTCCTCGTATTTGTGTTCTGCACAAACTCAAGTAAACACGTTCACTAGAAACGTCGATTTCGACCTCTGCCACGCTCCATTGTTGGATTCATCATCGTTTCATTGCCATATCCGCGACTACTTGACGTGCCTGAATACACCGTGAACACAACTACCTACATAGTGCGGATCAATTTCGACTTACTTCTGGTGGAGAAAATCGACAATGGACTTGTTATTTTATTCCCATTTGCGTTTCCCCAAATTGTGCTAGTCGGTTCATACCCTCCCCGACTCAACTGCGTATACTCTTCCGCATTAGCAACACTCGATGACACTCCTATGAAGCTGCCATACGACAATGGTCCATCTGAAATTGAACAAGTTCGATATGTGTAATTTTGTAGGACAAATGATAGTGAACAAGTTGTCGCTATCATCACAGCAGTCCCAACACATGTTCATAGCCATCGTTACATTGCATATAGTAATCTCGGAAAATAACACACATTTGCATATCAAATTGACAGCGACAGCAAATACGACCATACCTGACGGTAGCACGACATTGCGCTTCCTTGGCCACACTTCGAGCTCGAGAATATCGAAACCACCAACTGTGACGGTAACCAGAGCATACACTGTACATATACCAGCAGCCGAACATATAACAAAACCGGGAGCTCGGACAAATACCACTCCAATCTGAAATGACCTCAAATGCCAGGGAGATACAGTATAGACCTACCAACAAGTGAACCACCAAAGCAACCACGAAACAGAGCATGTAACTCGTGTATGCATATTGCACAAACCTGATATAATAACGATAACAATCTCGACCTTTACCCAAATTGAAACCGTCGATCGAGTCGATTCTCAACGAGCATGCATATCGCATCACCAAGTACAGCCCTGTGAGAAACTCCTACAATATTCTCAAAGTTCTCAAGAACAGTGTTGAAATACATGTTCGATTTTCTCAGCTGTTGAGCCCAGTGTATTCCTTCACTACGGTATTAGAATTCCCACACGACCCTGTGAGAAAGTGCACGAAATTTTTCCGCAATTTCCTCCTTGTCGTCAACCATACGCATATTTTCCCACACTGCACAGCTCACTTCATTTCTTTCGACAATACTTCCTCCATCGGGGACTCTCCTGGAGCCTCTGAGAACCACAACGCCGGGTCCAGCTGGTCCACTACAGAACCTAATACTCGCAAATTCCCATGGTCACAATACGCATTTCTCACTAGTGTTGCTCGTGATACTAACCGCCTCCTCATCCGAGTTGCCCAGTAACGATGATGACGATGATTCCAGTCGAATAGTGCGCTCATCGCCCGCCTGCAACGACGATTCCTCCGATGACATTTCTTGGCCAGGCGCGGCGTTGAGCAACACTTGTAGAGGAGAATAGAACCTCAACAAGGGCGAACAAATAAAAATCAAATGCCGTTTTCTTTAACGAATTCTCGTTACCTCTGCAGCATCTCTTCCTTCGTTTCGAATCGATCAGCAATCCAGTCTTTTACATGATCGCGTCGACTTGGGACCTCCGACCAGTGATATCGTGTCACACACATATGAATCTATCGAGTAATAAACTACACTATAAGTAGTAGTCGCTCACTCACCTCCCTAGGAAACCTTCCTTTCAATATGCTGTATATATCCGGTCGCTCGAACGGCTGAAAAATACAGAAAATTTCCCACTTTTTCCGAAAATTTTCCCACCCCAACCATCGCGTACTTGAAAGTTCACTGTTGCCGTGGTAACGTCCAGGCAACAATCTATAGCATTGAATGTTCGAAGTGCATCAATGGCTATAGTTAGCAAACCGCTCGAGACTCCCGAAGTGTATCTAACACACAAGTACAATAAAAAACAGGGAGAACTAATCTGCACATCGTCAACTACATAATATGAAAATCCTACGAGGAAAATTTCTATCAGTTCCCTTACACTTCTACCCGAATTCATACGTGAACCCCTCAAGCGAACGTATATTCCTCCAACACTGACAACTACAGTCTCACCGAGGAGCACGACTTTCACCGTCGTCCGACTCCGACGATTTCTCATCCGAGTCTGCATACGCCTCTGGATAGATCGCCAGGGTAATACCTTCACTATCATTGAAAGCCGCCAAGTACCTGTACATCGTCCGTGCAAAATTGGGTAAAATCGTCACACTTTACACACCAATAATCGTCCTAAACCGACTCACTCAATATGATGTCTCAATGAACTCCTATCTGCCTTCCGCATTTTCTCATCAGCTCCTCCTCCTCCCCTTTGCCGTCCAACGAACGGGAATAACATCATTTGCATCGCCCAGCCGATCACAGGGACTTTACGCCAACTTTCGTCAACGATAAACTTCAGTGTTGAAAGTCGGCGTAGTCGCAAACACAAACATATCAAACTCAGTGCATCCAACCTAAAACAGATGAATATCCCTCTTGTTGAGATCTCGCTTCTTCGATTCACACAGAGTTTATGCGCATCGTGCTCTCTTCCAAATATTGAAAATCCTACTGAATTGCTCAGTGTTGTTGAGAATTCCGATTAGCAATCCAAGACGGCTAATCCTGGTTTTGAGGCCCCGCTCGCCCACCCGTTTCCCATGTTAGAGATTATCAAAGGTCTTTCTAGGTAGCCGTCTCGTAGTTCCTCACTTCCTGTGATCACCAGACGGATTTTACATAGTATTTCCACCAAACCGCCGATCAAACCGAAATACAGCAGTTGCACCTGTGGTATGGATGATAATAATAATAATGGCGATAACGATAGTAGTAGTAGTGATAACGATGATTTTTAGATTCGTCAACTTTTTTAAGAGCATGCCAACTTGTTGCTACTCCGAGTACTCTGCGTATTGTTGGATGTCTTCTGTTTTACCATCTGGGGGGGGGGGTTCATAAATGTAAATGTTCATTGTTTGCCGCAACAGTGATGATGACGATGTTGATGATGATCAGAAAATTATCAACATCTTAGCATCCGCCCGCTCCCGCCGTGTGTGTCCAACAATAATAATAGAGTTTCACGACCCGTTTTACGCGAAGTGGCGTAATACTCTGTGAAAAACCCGATGTTCGCGATGATATGCAGTAGTCGTAAAATATACTTTTCATATCACTAGGGTGATGACAATAATAATGACGATGATAACCACCAGCTTACCGTCATAATCCATCTACGATAGAGCTCCCTAACTCTAATGGTCGGTAACGGTAACAATGGCCATGCCAAGGGGAGCAGAAATATAGTATACGAAATACCCACTATGCACGCCTACAAGGAAAAGAAGAGCACATGCCACAACTCAATCACTGGAGTTTCACGACCCTTTTAACGTGAAGTGGCGTAATACTCCATGTGTGAAACGCGATATGAAAAGTGAATTGAAAACACTTCGGAAAAATCGTTGCATCTCACGTAAAACACATCACGCGTTTTACGCCTTATTCACTGTTTACATGCGTTTTCCACCAAGTGAAATGTGTAATATGTTTTCACTAGTATTTTCGATACCACGGATGAAGTTTCATTCGTCATCGAATGATCTCACTTACCACCAAACACGTAAGAATGCCTCTCAACTTTGAAGGTCTATTTCGTCGAGATGGATGTCGCCATGCTATGTCCACAGTCATGAAAGTTCGCTGATTATACACTCATTAACTACAAACTGTGAAAATAGATTCTCGCAGTATGTACATAGTCAACTACATGTGTTGATGACGATATGGAAATTCTGGGAAAATTTTTTGGTAAATTATTGTTGGTTGCTGAACGCCTCTGCCCGAATTCGTATATAAACTCCTATGCTAAGTGAGAAAAGGAAACTCCTGAGCTCAGCTGGAAAAAGCGAACATATATTCCTACTCCAACACTGGATGCTCGCAAGAACCAGTCGACAAACAAATACCATTCCATGAATATACGCATATCGTTGTGGAAAATTTCAACAACGATATCAAAATGTTTGATTTCCTCAGCTGATATTTCTCAATTATAGGAGTTTACATACGAGTTTGACGAGAAGTGTACAGAAACCAACAAGAATTTTCCCAAATTTTCCGAAAAATTCCTTAAAACATGTAGTTAAACTTTCGCATATTTTTCCTTCTACATAAGAAAATTTTCAATTTTGTTACTTTCAATCGGTCTTCAATGAAAACAAACTAAAATTCAAAATTCCAAACACAGCTCCACAGAACACACAAACGAATAACATCAAAAAAAGTTGCTGTAATTATAAAGAACCTGAAATTTACCTAAAAACAGCTGAATTTTCGCCAACTCAAAATTCGAAAAAGCACAAGAAAACTTTCGCAACATGCACCATGCTCTACTCTAGCAGCTAGAGTATTCGATCAACACACAGCAACATCAAAATACATAATGTAATGCTATCATCAATGTACTCGTAATTAACCTGAAAAAAGTGTAAAATTCACAAAGTATATTATACTATACCTTTCCCCGTGCGAATTTGACAATTATGCGGGAGAGAATACTATTACTAAATGTTCACTGTCATTTCTGATCCCGTTTGTGACAGGCTATATACAGCTAGTGACAATTCTGGATTCACATTGTCAATCTTGATTGTGATAAATTGAAATAGTGACAAATCTGGATTCGCATTGTCAATCTTGATTGTGATAAATTAAAATAGTGACAAATCTAAATTCATATTATCAATCTTGATTGTGATGAATAAAAATAGTGACAAGTCTGGATTCACATTATCAATCTTGATTGTGATAAATTGAAATAGTGACAAATCTGGATTCAAATTGTCGAATTCGTGTTCGCTTGTATTACTATCTCTCGTAAAAACTTATCAGAAAAAAATTTATTTTCCACCAACATACCAG